TACCACACACTTAGTTTTTACCTGGACTGTTGTGTAAGGTAATGGCATGAACAACACCTGGAAGATCAACTTCAACCCGGCTGTAAATAGGTCCTTCTACAACCTTTATAAGTGGTTTATCCAAGGACAGGACTTGAGCTTCCTTGTCAGGTAAAAAAAGATAGGCTCCACTTCGTTCAGATCCAAGCCGAGCACCATATCTGGCAAAAAAAAAATGTCGAATTTCAAAATTTTTCTAGAGCAGATATAAAACGTAAAAAACGAGCAAATATTTGATAATGCTACTGGAAAAAGCATGTGAACATACTTGGCAAAATCCAAATGAATAGGATAGAATTGTCCAGTCTGATGGTTTGTAACTGCTTTAAGAAGTCCATAATAATTGAAAGCCACTGACATCTTATCATTTTTGATTTTGAATTCTCTTGAATCTGATTCCAGTTTGGCAGATTTGAAGACGTCGTTTGCACTTCTCACTTGGTTCAATGAGTTCATGATGCGAACTTTGGCTAAATGGTTCTTACTGAGATATAAAATAATACAAGAAAATCAAAACAAAATAAGACAATTTTTGAACAAGATATTCTGACTAAGATATTCTGGGGAAAATGAAGAAAAACTTACGCCAGTGTATCATTAGGAACAGCCAATGATACTGTATACGTAGTAAGAGCCAGAGGTTTTAAATCTGCCACAAAAGCAACTTCAAAACCTGATTCTGAAATCCCTGCTGGTTGGAAGATAGGACTGGTTTGTGATTTTATCACATTACCTTCATGGTCAGTGACCTAATGAAAAAGCATAAAGATGAAATAATGTAAAAACCATAGGGAAACACATTAAAAAGGGCACCCAAGTAGCTACCTTCACATGAGGAGTAGAAACTTGGAGATATATAACTTCCTGTCTTCGCCAGGTCAAAGAGTTAAAGAACACAATTCGGCGGGCTTCTACTCCTAAGTGAGCTCCGAGGGTAACTGAAACCCTCTCAGGCAAACTATGATGATCTTGCCAGGCATCATCAACAATAAAAAACATTGAGTCAGTTTCTGGAACAGCATGCTCCTGTAAAGTAAAAATAGCTGATGGTAAGAGATAGTTCACAAAGAAAATCAGAACAGTACTGCAACATGCACCTCATTTTGAAACTTACTTCTCGTGGGGCAAGTAGTGCATATGCACTCATTTGAATGACATGTTGACATCCCACAATGGTATCATGGAGCCTAAAAAAAAATTAACAAATAAAAAAATTGGAATTAAACATTTAAAACACCTGAGATTTTGCCACATTGTAATTGGTACTAAAACTAAACTGATTGAGCCTAATTATACCAACCAATTCCTGAACACAATTTAGAATACAGAAGAGGAAAGAAAGCTTTCAGCACCATTGTTGTATAAGAACTTACTTTTTAGCATAGTCATCCACTACAGGATCTCTGGAAGTGCCTGTTACCCCATCATGGTGCTGGAAGAGACTTATTTGTTTTCTTGCATCTCCTAATCGTTGTAGGATGCCTGAGCGTGATGTCAGAAGCCAAGAATGGACAGAGTTTACAGCTGGTATGTTGGTTTGCAATTGTTCACTCCAGGCCAGGGCAAATATCAATTCAGCACTCCTAGAATGTGGAATATTAAGCTTAGAAATAAAAATTAATTGGAAGGGGAAAAGAACACATATTTTTTTAAAAGTAGGTTACCTTAAGTAGTTCATTGCAATACGGTCCATTCGTTTATAGAATGGTCGGGAAGTGTAATAGCCACTCCAATAGTGATCATCTCGGTCTGCATAAGTAAAGAAGTCACCAGAAAGGGAGGGAAATCCTGACTGAGATCTCTCTTCACGGACAGCTTGGAAATAGTCATCTAGTGTACCAAACTTGGCCTAGACAATCAAAATAATGATTAATTTAGATTACAATAAGTAATGCAAATACGTAAAACGACAGACAAAAGTATCATTTTACCTCAACATGTAATTTTGGTTTGCTGTTCACAAAGTCAAATATCTTCTGATAATTATCAAATTGATGGTCCCATTCAGAAGGGTGTTCATAACGAAAGTCATCTCCAAGAGGAACCAGAAGGACATTTGTTTGGTAAAGTTGTGCTTTCTTTCGGTACTGATCTAAAAGTAGCTCAGCTCTGAAAAAATTTAGAAGTAGATAGAAAATGCTCAAACAAAAAATTATACAACAGCAGTAATCTCCATAAAGTAATTAAAAAATAAAAATACCTTTCAGCTACATTGCCTTTAGTTATGACTCTTGGAGGAACTTTCCATGGGCAAGACAAGCCATAACCAGGAAGTCGTTTAAAATCAAACTGACAGCAAACTTTGGGATCTGGTCCACAAGTATGGGGTACATCATATGAATAAAATGGCATCATATGAGTAAACAAGTCAATAGTGCCAGCAGTATCTGTAAAAATAAAATAACAACAATCCATGACAATTATACAAATCGGTAATTTACACTTAGTGTCATTCAAGTAGTCCAGCATAACAGTTTTACCCCATGGTTGGCGCCACCTAAACTCAAGTTGTCGGTTTTTCGCCAAAACTTTCTTAACTGAGTAATGCACCCGCTGAATTAGAAGATTCTGAAGGCCAGATCTTTGAACAAGAAAAGCCATTGAGGAACTAAGGCCAAAGGGATCGATGGACCAGCTATTGCTGTAAAAATGAAGACAAAAGGACAGTTGAGCATTTTGCTAGGGTCAGGTTCTTTCATTTTAATAATCAATTTAAATTTTTTAAAAATTGATATACCGTGGTGTTACTCCAACATTTTTGAGTAGCCAAAGATGACCTTCAGTAAGTTGAGTCAAAATGTTGAAATAGTGAGAATTTGCCTCATCATTCATCACCCATCCAGCAGTGACAAACTCTAACTGACCACTCTGCACAAATCTAAACACAATTGCATAAGTCATCATATTTTTATGACAATGTTTTGCTTACTTGATCTCAGATGAACCTGGATAAACACATACCTTTTCACTCTACTCTTTTGTTCCTCGCTAGCTCCTTCCCACCACATAGCAAAGAATGATATCTCTGCCCAAATAAACTTTCTCCGGGAATCCTCATATAGTTTAGTAACCATATTGTTGAGGATATGCTTTGTTTGGGAAGCATAATAGTCTTCAAAGGTCTTCAGCCAACCTACAAGAGTTAAACATTTTAGCGTGTCTGGCATAAATCTACAATGATGATTGTAAACGCTCTAACAATTTCTTTTACCTGGGTCGTTGTGTGAGTGAGGTACAACAAAGACACGAAGTTTTCTCCTAGACGTCCATTGCTCAGGAGTGTAAGTTATTTTCCAACCTTGTTTCCATTCTCCACCATCCACATTGTCAAACTTTAACTGATTATACAGTTCATACATCTGGGACAGCAAAATAGATAAATGTCACAAGCACAAACAAGGAAAACAAAACAACATTGAAAACATTTGAGTGTCGATTGGGCAGATTTAACTATATTCGTCAACACACACCTGAATATCTGCATTAGGATTGTTGAGCGAAGGGCAGACCTCTGACTCAGAGAGCCAGTGAGCCGATTGCAAAGCCAAAGAAACATTTTGTGGGATATGAACAGCGTTGCTCAACGTCTTTTCAACAACTATTCGTTCACTTCCTTCCACAGCGCTCCTCCTCAAATACTGAAAGAGGAAGGTATAGTTAGTATAGTAGTGTACATAGAGAAAAAGGAATTTTAAATTAAGGTTGATAAGAAGTATGGCTAACCTGTTGTTGAGATTGAGGTGATGTTGGATCATCGTGATGAGGCAGCATAGTCATTTCTATGATTAAATAAATCACAAAGCAACATCCTAGGAACAAGGCTGATGCAGCCAAGACAACTTTTCTCCGAACCCTTACTCTCATTTTGATTGGCACCGTAAATAGCCTGCAAAATAATGCGATATTAATGAACAAGAGAACTTGTAAAACATAAACATAACCTAATCGTAATCAACATAACTTCATAAGCAATGGGTGCCAGAAAAATATGGTCCGGGTGGAACAAAACTGGTTTCACCACATATTTAGAAACGAACAGAGCTTTTTTCAAAGATAGAAAAACCAATCAAAATTTCCCTTGAACTTGTACCTACCAGAAAACTCTTCGAGTAGCAGACGCCGATGTTTTGGTTAGGGTCTAATAGTCGCCTGCCCTGGCAAAGCCAGATACAGAAACGAGATCACATTTAAAATATAAAAAAAAATATCCTAAAATCTTGTGTATGAGGGGAGCTCAAGTTCTGTTTAACATTTTGGTATCACACAAACCAACAAAACCTCAAAAAGTCTTTGATTTTTGTTTTCACTTGTTTGTTTGGAAATTGAGTTGACTAAGGGCAGGATAGGAGAGCCGGTGC